TATATATATATATATATATATAATGTCGTTTCAATTATATTTTTGATTGAATTTGAAATTATGTTAAATTGTTATAAAATTTCATTTTATACCAAACATTACTCATCGCTTGATAGAAAGTAAATATTTACAAACAAATGAATCTTTTCAGAAACCAAGATCCATCGCTGAGGTACAATTTTACTTTGAGAATTGATATTACGCCAGAATTTGTTTTTTTCTTCTTCTGAATTTTCAAAATGCAGTGCATTGCCGAGCAAGCAACTCATCATCTTTATTCTCTTCTCATCTATATTTCAATGAAGTCAATGCAAATTCCTCGTGCAAGCGCAAATGCGTGGATGATCCTCGGAATAATTTTTGAATTATAAATTGCGTTTTTATATAAAGAATTATACATATAAATAAATAAATAAATACTGTATATAATTTTTTTCAACTTAACAATCGATTTTTAAATCCCCGAGGATGATTCCAAGACATACTATCTCAATTTTGATCCTCTACTGAGGAAATTTCCTCCCTAGCTTTGGTAGCCCGATGACCTACTCAAGTTAAACAAGGACTGATACTACGCTTCAGCGGTCTACTCGTAAGCTAATCAACGTGTTCAGCCACCGCAGTCAGCGATGTATGACTTCTGTGATCTACTAGGAACCGTATCTTATGATCAGGCAGCGAAGACTAGTTGCCTGATCATAAGATACGGTTCCTAGTTAAGTTAAACATTAGTTTAAGTCACATGAGAGAGTCCCATTAGTTGAGTCACAAAGAGAGTCACATGTTTTTCTCGATTCTACTCCATTAATAATGGTATGCATCTTACTTCTACAGCAGACTTTCAGACGGAAGATGATATCGTAAAAGCTGGTCAGTACACAATTCTAGTACCGAGGCATTTCTAACAGTATATTTTAAGTTATCTTTGCGCAATAAAGTTAAAACAGTTTTTTTCAACATTATATTTTTAATTAATGGCCTATTTTAATTGCTTTCATTCTGACTAATATTTTTTTCATCACATCTATCGCCTTTTCATTAGACATCTTCAAACATTCCTCATCGTATTTTGAGTTCGAATAAGTTTCCGTAGCAACTCAACATAGTCAAAAATGACTTTCTTTTAATATAAAATTTGCGAGTCCTGAAATTGAACTACATCTATTAAAAGCAGATATAATATGAAAAATGATGTAGTATGCGAACATCAAAATACAATATCATTATCAAAGATAACTTTAACAGAATACGTTTCAAATGCTTTGTCTAGTTATGACAAACTATCTAAGTAGAAAACTGATGTGACTACCTCGCTATACGTTAATAAATCACTTAACTATCTAATTTACTAGGCCACCTTGCTAAACATTCAAAAATCTTTTAGCAATCTAATTTTTCCAAGTCAATTTTGCTACACATTTAAATATCCCTTAACATTCTAATTTTTTCAAGGCTACTTTGCGACACATCTGAGAGTCACTGCGAAATCTAATTTTTCTAACGCTACTTTGCTGCATGCTTAAAACTCACTTAGCAATCTAATTTTCAAAGGCCACTTTGCTACACATTTAAAAATCTTTTAACAATCTAATTTTTCCAAGGCTGCTAAGCAGCAGATTTAAAAATCTCTAGGAAATATAATTTTTCCAAGGCTATTTTTCTACACATTTAAAAATAATTTAACAATCTAATTTATCCAAGGCTATTTTGTTACACATTTAAAATCATTAAGCAATCTAGTTTTCCTAGGCTACTTTGCTACACATTTAAAAATCTCATAGCCATCTAATTTTTCCCCAGGTTATTTTACTACACATTTAAAAATTACTAAACAATCTAATTTGTCTAATGTTATTTTGCTACACATTTAAAAATCACTTGAGAACCTAATTTTTCCAAGACTACTTTGCAACACCTTTAAAAATGCCGTAACGATATAATTTTTGCAAGTTTATTTTGCTACACATTTCAAAATCACTTGAGAACCTAATTTTTCCAAGACTACTTTGCAACACCTTTAAAAATGCCGTAACGATATAATTTTTGCAAGTTTATTTTGCTACACTTTTAAAAATCACTTAACAATTTAAATTTTCTTAGTCAACTTTACTACACATTTAAATCTAATTTTTCCATTACTTTTTAGCATAACTTCTTGAAGACTTCTTTTAACGGAAGCCGAAAATGTGTTTTTTACACATTTATACACATTATATTCGTTATATTCGTTATATAATATTAATAATTCTTATTAATATTATATATATCATATTAATAATAATATTAAATTCGTTATATAATATTAATTCGTTATATTATTCGTTATACACATTATATTCGTTAAATATAATTAATTTTTCAAATATTTTAAATTATTATGAAAAATAATAATTTTAATTTTCAGCTGTTTTTACACATTCTGGGATACTTTTACAGTTTATTTCTACACATTTTTGGTAGTAAAACAAAACACAGTACACTCAAATAATAAGAAAATTCTACGCCAAAAATTCTCCAAAAGGTTATTTTTGAATTGAAAATCTTACCTTTCTTAAACGTTTTCTTGAAAATTAAAAATTCTGACAAGCGTCGGTAAAGTCAATTACATTCTTACGTAGACAAGATTTGGGAAGGCAAACAATAAAAAATATTTCATTTGTGTTAAAATTATACCAATTATGTTGGAAGTTGGGTCTTAGCTATTATATGACACGGGAAATGCTTAGTTAAATATTTCCTACCTTTTGATTCGTGGGACCATGTCCACCTCTTTTTTTCCACATTTCGATATAATCTATGCAATTCGTTTCATATGGAGCAGGAAGAAGTTTTTTCACAACCTAAAACACACACATACACGTGCCTTATAAAAAATTTATTACAAAAAAATGGTAACAAATATAACTCAGTAACAATGTTCAGTTTTATTATTTCGAGTTCAATATATAAGAAAATAATTTTCAAGTTAAATGCACACCTTCTTTAGTCGAAAAGTTTGTTCTGTGTTGAGATTCATGTTAAATCCATCAGTAAATGGGTTAACAATCTGTCGAGGACTGTGAATGGAGAGCTGAGCTGACACAACTCCCCAATATTGAGGATATTCTTCAGCATGTGGAAAAACAGAGAAAGAGTAAACTAGAAAATACAATAAATATATTAAAGATCGTATTCCAGAATGTAGAGTAAGTATGCATTAATAAATGTAAAAATAGGGCTAATAATTTTCGTTAGATTATATTTTACTATTTCTTACTGATATAATACTATATGTTTAGAAGTATTTAGCAAAGTTAATGTATATAGATCAAGTCTCGATGGCTCAGGGATAAAGCGTTTGCTTCACATCGTGGTAAGTCAGGTTCAAATCCCAGCTGTGGCTAGTTGATATAAATTCTGTACTGACTCACTGTACTGACGTAAAATATCCTAAGTGATAGACCGGTCATGGGTAAAAATCCCCTTGGCGCTCGGCTAAATATAGTAGGTTTTTGTGGTTTTCTTTTTCATGTAACACAAATGCAGGTTAGTCCCATCAAAAAAGTCCTCCATGAAGGCTGGTTTGTCCCTATGGTTGATTCATGAGTTCCCTTGCCGTCTGGGTTGGTTTTAAAATTACAAGGTAATAAAGTTGAACATTGATAGTCGTAAATTCAGAATTGGGCCGGCTGCTAAATTCCGGTGAAAAAATAACTGTATAAAGATTGTTATTGACATTTTTGGTGTTCTTATTAATAAAGATATAGCAATAAAAGGAGATTTAACTGTCATTAATCTCCGGGTTTACATAAAAAGTCCTATTTTAATTTCTCATTAATTTTAAAATACAGGTTGTCCCAAAACGACCGCATAAACTCTGCACAGCTAGATTCCTCGTTGGGAGTACATAAAAACTGCCCAAAGAAGCGTTCCTGTACCAAAGATTGTATAAGCGTAAAGATGGGAAACTCGCGAAAGTCGTAACAAAATTTGGCACAATGCCAGCGCTTCGTGTATGGCGGAGAAATTTGTCTCCAGGGGCACGCATGCGCAATATCATCCTTAGTTTTGGAAAGAGAGTTTGGAGAGAGAAGCAGATGAGAAATCAATCAATGGCGGACGTTAATTTGACAATTATCCCTAACAAGTAAGTGCGCTTTGTATAATATATCTTCTGTTGATTTTTTTCTCCTTGTTTTCAGTTTTGATAAAGATTCTAATCCTCTTTTTTTCTTTCAATATTTTTCAGTGATTCTTCTGTGCGCAAAGCAAAGAATTATGATAGATGTGCTTACTGCAATGTAAATAGAGCGGGTTATCCAAATTTGAAATTGTTTCGCTTTCCTCAAAATATCGAAATGTAAGTAAATAGTTAAGCATTTCGAAGATTTCGGTAAATTATTTTTCAATGATTGATTATATGAACCTATTAGATAAGACTCACTTAGAATTGTAACTAAATGTGTGACTAATTTATAGTGTCTGACTTAATTTAATTTCATTTGGTTTTTAAATTCTGTATAATTCCACAAGTGCGTTTATCCTTTTTGGTCGGAATTAAATATTTACAAATGAAATTTATGTATATAACTAAGTAAAAATTTAAATGTTTTTCAAGAAATGTGAAAAAGATCTATAAATCTGACATTTTAAATTTTTGAAAGTTCATTGCATATATGAAATTATTTAAATAGTGTAAAAAGTGTTACTTTTTATTCATATAATATTTATAGAGTGGTTTATAGTAGATATCAGGGGGAGGGGGGGAGGTGGGCTCATGATGCGCCCACTTAAAGCTTGGGGGGGGGGAATTTTTACACTAAATAAAACGAATAGTTTGGGGAGGAATTTAGAATTTGCCCAAGAATGCGCCCGAGAGCTTGGGGGGGGGGGGCTACTGGTAGATATATATAATTTTATTTATCTGTTAGCTCTAAATGTCCAGTAAACAGTACCGTCTTTACTTATAGGCACACAGGGCAATGAACGGGGACCCCATTTTCTCAGGGGGCCCTAGAGAATCGTACTTTTTTGAAAAATTGCATTAAAAAGAATTTAAGACTAAAAACATTACCTTATATATTAAATTTTTTTTTTTTTTTTTTATAGAGTATGCATTTTTTTTCTACAAATGGTGATTGCTTATCAAACACCAATAATTGGAGTAGTTTATCACCAAGGAAACTTAAAAAGTAAACCGAAAACTATTTTTCTTATTTTATTATATGAGGATTACAACTGGTTAGCGTATCAATTTTTTTAAACTATGCATAGTTTAAAAGTACTTTATTTGAGTTTTTGTGGTAATCAAAATTAGTTAAAATTATTGCATTATACAGTCCCTGGCCAAATTATTAGACGCACTATAAGATTCTAAGTAGAATTTAATTACTCAGATGATACTACACAGCTTTATTGTATTTACGCTACTGGAACCGGTTTGTACTTGTTTACGTTTGTGTATCAATTGGTTAAATTAGGCGATATGTAATATAAATTCTACAAAATGTAATAAAAATACAGATTATTTATTGTATCAGGTACTATATTATAATATTATAATAATTAGGTCAAATTAATAGACGTACTGTAGTTTTTTAATAATGACATGATTTACACGAGTTTACATACTATACTTTTATAATTAAACATACGCGTTAATTTATTAATATAATGTATTTAATTATAAAAGTATTAATATACATGTTAATACTTTTATAATTAAACATACAAATGGATTTTTATTCAGGAGATGTTTTATTCACCTCCTATTTGTATTTATTTTTTACGTTTTTCATTTCATTGTTAACCAACTGATACACTAACGTAAAGAAGTGGAAACCAGTTTCAGCTACGTAAATACAATAAAGCTGTATAGTATTACCTGATAATTATGATTTTACATAGAATCTTGAAGTGCATTAATAATTTGGCCAGGGACTGTATCTTAAAAATGATATATGTGAAGTTTTTTAGTTTGTTTTTAAGCATTGCGACACATTATAGGTCTAAAATATTTTTGTGCCTTGGGCCCCTGCATGCTATGAAGATGATAGTGCCAGTAAAACAGAAATTTAATTGATTTTGTTATTTAATCACCCAATGAATTGTTTCGTTATTAAATTTCCTTTCTAAATCTTTTCCTTAAACACTGCCTGCTTTTTTAAAACTATTTAATAAAATATTAATACTTAAGAAAAATAATACATATAATTTATTAATGCCATAAATTTTAAGTTCCGTTCTCGAATTAGACAGCATTCTTATGTCATATTAGCACTTTAATCTTACTGTGTGATTTTCTTTTAATATTAGGTGCAAGAAATGATTAGAGGCCAGCAGAATTGTATCGTTACTGAATGTTGATACTGACAGACTGACTACACAACAGATGTAGATTGTGTTCAAGACATTCTAAAATTAAAGATTATGTATCAAAAATAATGCAGACTTGTTCCTAGTGCAGTTCCAATTAACCAATATTGCATCTTTTTAATTTTATGTTATTTTATTTCATGAACTTGCTCAAATGTTTATTTATTGTTTAAAATGTATACAATTTTATTTGTGTAATTTTTATTTTATTGAAAAGTATATTCTTAAAATATATAACCAAAAAGAATATTTTTAGATAAGTTTAATAAAGATAAAACAAATTCTGCAACAAGTGTCTTGTTTATTTTTTTAAAACTCTAAGTATATATATAATTGAAAATTTTTATTTATATATAGCACATTTCTTATACATATACACACATGGAAAAATTAACAAAGCGAAAAAGTTCAGTTTTCAAGAGGAAATAAATTTTACTCAATTTTTGAAAGTTTTAATGAATTTTTATTTTTTAATATAAATTACTTTTGTTAAATAAATATTTACTACTTTAAAATAAATTATAATCCTGCTAAATTTGTGAACTGAAAAAAATTTAAAAGCAAAATAGAATCCGATCATAATTAACGGAGAAAATATGGTTGCATTGGGAGAAAATCAAATGATCTGCGCCTGTTCTTCAATCGCTCTTGACGATGGCTTTCCTGCATTACACCTTCAGCGCCCAAGTTGGGGGAAAGATCCTTACGACTTAACATTGATAGTATAGGAAGTTTCCCTTTTTTACGCGAAGCGTATAAGTTCTTTGCCTGTACTATCCATAGTTTACGTGAAAAATACGAAAAAAAAGTATGACGTCACTGCCGGTGCATGGAAAAAACACTTTATTGGACCATTCCACGGCGTGCTCAAGCCTGCCTCGACATGCACGGCGGATAATTTGAACATCTGCTTTAAATTGTGCATAGTATACTGCTGTTGATATGTTCAATAAAATGTTTTTTTCTTGTATCGGCAGTGACGTCATACTTTGTGTTTCGTATTTTTCTTGTAAACTATGGATCGTACAGGAACGCTTCTTTTGGGCAGTTTTTATGCGGTCGTTTTGGGACACCCTGTATATCAATATGATCCGTGCGGAGGCTGAATCTCTTCTAGGAGGTGCTAATATACTATTTCTGTTACGCATAATATAATTCAATTGTCTGTAGTTTTGTGTTGCTTTCCGGCTCGACCAATCCTGTAACTTAACAAGAGTGAAGTTTCTGTTGCATTTGCATTATAGGTTTAAGCATGTATGTGTTTTGCGCATTGCAAATAAGTTTTAGCTCTGAGAAACACCTTCCACTGAGCCCTAGATTTCCTCGAAACAAATTTTGAGAACCTTTGGTCATTGTAACATATTCGCAATGTTCAAGCTGAGAGGCAGATCGCGTCTGATCGCGTGTTTATAAAATTATTAGGAACACGCCTATTAAATTTTAAGAGCTTTAACTAACTTACTTCCTTCTGTGGGAATTGTCATAGGTTTCTTTTCTGGCCATCCGATTATTGTATTAAGGGTGTAGCAGCCTTCAACCACCCCGCTATATGAACTTGGACAGCGTACGTGCTGATAGTAACTTAAACTGAAATATTAATATTGATAGTCAAACATTTTGAAATTTGTGTTCAACATTGAATATAGTGCATACATTGCATAGATTTCATTTACTTCAAAAATACATAAAAAGTAAATATCAACCGATTTGTTAGCTTAGTTTGTCCGATGCAGTCATGATCGCAAGGGACAAAATAGACAAGCTTCAATATTTAGACTTAAGGAGCACGATAGATAAGTCCCCTATAAAGAGTACAAGTAATGATCAATTGTTGCAATCTGGAATCTCGGGCATAAATTTTAATTTATATCTATCTATCTATCTATCTATCTATCTATCTATCTATATCTATATATATATATATATATATCTATCT